GAAACACTTTCTCTTCAATTAAAAAAAAAGAAGTTTCTACGATTTTTTCCGCCAAATCACAGCTCATTGAAATAACCCTTGTGTTTTCGACATTACCGACGATATCTCCGTTAAAAACCATCGTAGCAAGATCGTTTTTTTTTTAATTAAAGCTTGCACTTTCAGCTTCAAAAACTAGTCACCAGATTTTTCCTCGAATGCATCTGCGCTGCTGTAGCTTTTAAAATGTAAGGACATGTTTTTACCTAAAAAATGACCAACTTTGGCCAGGTGCCCGGGCGTAGGAAATTTTTCCTCGCTAATTCTGCTCGAAGTATCAAAAAGTGTGTACTTTTCCCTTCAATTTAAAAAAAAGAAGTTACTGCGATTTTTTTTCGCCAAGTTACAGTATTTTGAAGTAACCCTTGTATTTTGGTTCATTACCGTCGACATCAGCGTAACCCAATGTGCACGTGGAGGTTGCCGTTCGGATTTTGCACATCGTGTGGTCCTACAAGTCACGCAGCCTTCTTCCCATCATATCCCAGTATGGGGGTAAGGGGTACTTCAAAATGCTGTAACTTGGCGAAAAAAAATCGCAGTAACTTCTTTTTCTTTTTATATTGAAGGGAAAAGTACACACTTTTTGATACTTCGAGCAGAATTAGCGAGGAAAAATTTCCTACGCCCGGGCACCTGGCCAAAGTTGGTCATTTTTTAGGTAAAAACATGTCCTTACATTTTAAAAGCTACAGCAGCGCAGATGCATTCGAGGAAAAATCTGGTGACTAGTTTTTGAAGCTGAAAGTGCAAGCTTTAATTAAAAAAAAACGATCTTGCTACGATGATTTTTAACGGAGATATCGTCGGTAATGTCGAAAACACAAGGGTTATTTCAATGAGCTGTGATTTGGCGGAAAAAATCGTAGAAACTTCTTTTTTTTTTAATTGAAGAGAAAAGTATACACTTTTTGATACCGTAAGCAGAACTGGCGAAGAAAAATTACTACACTCCGCACAGTGCGTAAAAGTGTGCAATTTTTTAGAGAAAAAACATGATCATGATTTTGAGAAAGTTCCGGGAAATGGGAAGAGTGAATGCAAATTCCAATAAGAGCTTCTTAAAGCAGAGGCTTTGACCTATAAAATGAAAGAAAAAACTTTTCAATTCGACCAGTTTTCGCGAAGTAACGCTTATATGAAATTCGCCAAATTTTGATGTAAATTTCTTGTTGCGTTAATTTTTTTGACCAGTGTATGTAAGAAATATTACTTAGATGTGTTACCATACATAAACCATTGTTGTAAATTGTGTTACAATGTGAAAAGATATCGATGCTGCACATATACGTTTTTTGTTTACTTAATATACGTGCATCACTTTTCGAAGATATTTTGTAGCATCCAGTTTAGAATATCCGAATTACAGTATTTACGCAAAACTACTTTTATAAAAATAAAATAGTACTCTTAAATGTCAAATAAATATAAGGATATATTTGAACACTAGGCTCGGACGCAACTGAGAACATTAGGACAGTAGCTGGGGCCCTTTTTCACCAACTGCTTCGACTCCCACTTTCCTGGTCCTGGTCACTGACATGCATACAGAATTTATTCTCACATTATATGAAAATGTTTCTGTGACGGAGGAGCTACACAAGTGTATCTTATGAAGACATGCACGAGAATGACGAAAATTGATTGAAAACAAGTAACTGCGCATGCGCGAGGTAAATACACATTTCGCCCTCTCATAAGAATTTTCTTTTTAATGTAAAACAATCATGCATTGAATTTCCTCGGTCGTTAAGTGGACGGTTCCATTATAGACATACATAGTTCGAAAAGAACACTTTTAATAATAAGTTATAAGTGTGCATATATACTCACACAATAGTATATGATAGTCCATTATGTAAAATTACGATATTAAGACTAAAATTTACTCTAGAGGGAAACATCAATCGATAAAAAAAGAGGAGGGATAAGCGTGGGTCGTCGGCGTCTTTACATTCACTCGTGTCCCCAACTTCATACAAATATGATTCGAATAGGCGATCAGTATTTCAGCGTGAATAAAGTTTTACTGCTCACTGTCGGCCTGTGGCCCTATTACCAATCTATCTTTACTACGTTTCAGTATATTTCGATCTCAACCATATTGACCGCGTTTATTATACATATTTCAGGTAAGAAAATATTTTAATACAATTCATGACTATATAAGAGAACACGGCTCTGACGAATAAAAATCAATGAATGGAAGCGCTAAGAGCCTTGACTGGGTGTTAGTGTCACAACAGTTGAAGTTTAGTTTATTTAAAACATAAAAATTACAAACGTTTCGGTCTTTCTTCAGACCATTCTCAGTGTATAAAAAGAAAAAGAATAAATGGAAATAAGTTAAAATACGCTCGCAACGCAATACATAAGAAAGATATAAGAGGTAAGCCGTATTCGGATTAATTACGACTGCAAATCGAAAAATCATTGTTTCGTCGAGATATAAGTTTTTGTATTATAGAGCTGGTAATAGATGTCAACTAGTGACATTTATTACCATCACTAGTCGACAACTATTACCAGCTCTATAATACTAAAACTTATATCTCGACGAAACAATGACCTTTCGATTTGTAGTCCTAATAAATCCGAATACGGCTTACCTCTTATACACGTATCTTTCATACGTATTGCGTTGCAAACGAATTTTAACTTATTTCCCTTTATTCTTTTTCTATTTATACACTGAGAATGGTATAAAGAAAGACTGAAACGTTTGCAATTTTTATGTTTTAAATAAACTAAACTTCAACTACTGTGACACTAACACCCAGTCAAGACTCTTAGCGCTTCCATTCATTGATTTTTAATGACTATATCATTGTCTGTGTAACTTGTCAAATGGCAAATTTTCACCACATTTTTATTTACCTTACTCTGTGTTATGCAATGATATTTGTATTAAATATAACACAACTATTATTAATCAAGTGTATGTAAAATTTAAGTAAAAAATTAAATTGGAGTAAATTATAGTAAACTGAACAAAATTATCTTTTAACAGCTAACAACGTTTTTAACAGTAAACTGTACTACGGAACTCTTAATAGATGTTTTGTCTTCCACATCTTTTTGTGTTATTTATACGATAAATTATAACGTATTCCATTTTAAAATCGAAAATGTAAGTTAATGACGTGTCTGTTAAACGGGGTAACCCACCCATCTATATTTAAATCAAAAAATTCACTTTGATGTATACAAAAGTTACTGGAATGACAGGTGAAGGATTTACTGATGCAGTTTCAGCATGTACATAATGAATTAACGGATAAAAATGAAATCGCTATCATAAAAAAATATGACTACATAGCGAAATGTTATACAGTTACACTCATGAGTAAGAAAATTGTTATAAATTTTGAATATAATGCATTATTAACATAATATACTTATAAACTATCAAGTAAAAGAAAATCAGTTTATCCGAATTATATACGGTTTTATTTATATACGATTTGTATGCGATAGTTTTATACATACATAAGTCCATTAAAGTATTCGTCATGTATACTCATTTGCAATAAACAGCAAATGTGTTTTACAGATTGTTCAAAGACAATTAGCTTGGAATTTGCTGGCAAAATTGCCGCACGATAGACTCCCCTCACCCTACAGAGCCAACTCCCCGTATCCATAAGGTTCATACTTTAAGCTCTGTCCAGATATTTCCTACGTCCATGGTTCGACCCATAAAATCCTATAACAAAATAAGTTACAGCTATGTGAAAATAGGTTCTGCAGGTGTCGAATGCCGCCGAGCGCTCATACAAAAAAAAATTCTAGCGCCGTAAATATTAAGAATTCGACTTCCGACATTAATGACATCATTTTTTATACTTCAATCTTCAATTTTTGAAAATAAAAAGAATGTATTATAATAACGTACCCCCCCCCCCCCAAAGTAACTTGCCGATTAAACTTACATGCTATAAAGGAAAGTCCCCTATTGTGAAGTAGGCTCCTAATATGAGATAGCGACATTTCTGCTAAAATTATTTGGCATTATCTGGTAGTTTCACCATGAAATACATTTTCTTGCTCTTGAAGTAAATTCTGTTTAGTGGCAAATTGATTGTTAGATCGTGTAATTGTTGCGAAAAAAGATTAGTGAATGAATTTGACTTACTATCTCTACTATTAGAACCCAATCTCATCATAGAGGACTTCTCTCCATTTTAAATATTCTGTCTTATTGGCAATCTATAATCATATTATTACCGTTCTATATTATTAATTTATCAGTGTTTGGTGTTAATAATGTTTTTTAGTACTTGGAACTTGTGCAATATTTGCTTTTATGGCATTTCAATTTTGGATAAATATGATCAATTTTGCTTTACCAACGAATGTATCTCGATCATATAATTTTCTCTTTATGATGGAGTATTTCATCGATCAGGATACATATTTTTATTTGATTCTATTGTACACCAACGTAGCTGCTTGCATTGCGACACTTACAGGGGTAGCATGTAGTACAATGTTCCTTACATTCACTCAACATAGCTGTGGAATGTTCAAAATTGCTAGGTACGAATACAGAAATCACCTTAATAGTTTGAAATGTAGCTAAAAGTTAGTCTATTCTGCCTAAATAATAAAAGTGTTTGTGTAACATTTTTTATCTGTTATAAATTGTATATTTCAAATAATCACTTTAAAATGACAACACTAACGTTTACAGTTATCGAATCGAGCATGCTATAAATATGAACATTAAACGAAATGTAATGCCAGAGAATGAGATTTTGATGACCAAAAGCATAAGTTATGCTGTTGACATTCATCGGCAAGCTCTGAAGTTCGTATTTATGATGTCACTTTTCACGCAATATACATGTATGCATACAATAATATTTTTTATTTTTAAAGACTGAACAAACACTTACTGTCAATAGTGGAGACAATGTTGTTGTCTTTCTTACTGTTTCTTGTGCTTTGTTTGAGCCTGAACCTATTTCGAGTAAGTTTTATCATAAATTATATACAATAAAGACGGTTCCAAAATTTTTAGCAATATTGTACTATAACGAAGGTAAGAATGAACACAGCATGTATATTATAAGAATTATGAATTTCCAACGGAAGCTGTTAAATGCAGGGTTGCGTAAGTCATCTTTCTTTCAATTAAGTTAAGTTAAAGTCAACAGCCTTGAAAATTTAGCTTAGTTGAAATACAAATAGTTATCCCATATTGAAATTAATTGAATTAAAAGTTAAGTTAATAAGAAAAAGGAACGTTTTACCGGGCATTACTGATGATCATGAGGAAGAGTATTGTAAATAAACATAATCTCGAGACATTATTTAAACTTTAAGTTATAAATGCTCATAAATTTTTTTATTTAAAGTGCTTAATAGAAATATTTTGATAGAAATATCTTAATAGAAATATGAATCATTTGTATTCTTAGCTTCAAAAAATGACAACTCTCTGTATAGTATACGTTGAAAGTATATACTTTATGGATATTAATGATTTACGTAAAATATATTTCTTTACTTTTTCAGCTAATGATATGTAAAAACATTAACTACATTATTGTACCACTTGGATGTGCGGGAGTGTGTACCTTATATATGTTCATCTTCAATCTTCTGGGGCAAATTGTAACTGACCACAATAATGATGTGTTTATTACTACGTAAGAAATATTCTCTTGGTAGATAACGCATAGAGATTTTCCAGTATTTATGTTACGTAGAAGTTTATTTGTCAGAAACATTTGTTTCAAGATGTAAACTAATAAGAAGATTCATATTTCCAGTTAGAAATTCATAATTAATTTCGTAGATATAACGTCTACTGGTATAGAACTCCGTGTCATATACAAAGAATGATATTATTCCTGTTGCAAAGAGGAATAAAAGAATTTCATTTTAGTATCGGTGGAATATTTGATATTTCTATTGAGGGTTTCACAACGGTAACATTTTGAATATTTTATAATATTAACCTACATACAGATACATAAAGGTAATGTTTCTACTTGCAGCTGGTCAAGACCTCGGTATCTTATTTTACAGTCTTAAGTTCTATACAGTAATAAAATAAAGACGATTTTAATCAAAACATCGTAGTGATGATATTAAGCTTATTTATAACAGTATCTTGTCTTAGAAAATATAGACTTCTATTTGTATATGTATATCAGAGAACAAGCTGAGAGCGGCCTCGCTGGCATTTTACTTGATACCGTTTCAGGAAATTGTTGCGCGCGTCCTTAAGCCCATTTTTACTTTTGGAACTATTTTATTGCGCATTTTCTAACCCTACCGATAAAATTGCCACTTGGTGCATGGCTGTCCTTATAGAAATGTAAGCAAAATAATTACTCGAAAATTCCTGTGTGTCAGTGATTTGAAATAATTCAATTACTGAATTCTAGCATCTAGTTGCTTACAACTGTTTTCGATCCCAGTTGCTACATTTCTGTAAGGGTGGGCTATGTTTTCTGACATCTAATTTATGTAATTTACATTGTTTACGTGAGCATAGTTGATGTCAATATCATGTAGATAATTTATGTTAATGTGATTTTGAAATTTACAGCACAATTCTGAAAAATAGGCGTAGCACGGACACGCACAGAATGGAGGTTTTATCGGCAGCGTTAAAAAGTAAGTAGCAAAATAGTGCCAAAAGTAAAAATGGGCGTAAAGGCGCGCAAAACAGTTTCGTGAATAGGTATCGAGTAAAACGCCGGTGTGGCCGCTCTGAGGTTTCTCTAAGGCGTATAGATAATTAGATAATTAAATATAGATAATTAGATGTATCGTAGCTACAGAAAAGTAGTTCTGAAGTTATTTAAATCAACGAATTAATGCTTCAGATTTTCGCAATATCTAAATTGGACATTTATAAATATATTGACTGTAATTCAAATATAAACGGTATCTATGTGTTAATATATGTTTTATTACTTTCAAGTAATAAATTCTTTAAGCATGTGTACAGTCGGGAGCACTGAGGTTGCGACACTTTTTTTTTATAAGTTTACGAACGCGCAAAAAAATTCAAGATGCCAATCACTGTCCGCGCTCATGCGCGGTGAGTGATCATGGTGCTGTCAAATTTGTATATACAATGTGTAACATAAATTGATATGCCGCGGCAAATCCATAATAAATAACATGATTATTCAGGTGATTCGTGTTAACTCGCTGTCGGATCAGATCTTTCGCCGGCTTGTCTCTTGGTTATACTAATGAATAATGTGGGATGATTTCTAAATACAAAATAAAATAAATATAATAAATATAATAAATAAATTTAAATAAATTAAATAAATAAATAAATGACATTAATTTAATAAAAATATAAAATGACCATGATACCTTGCTTCACTAATATTTCTTTTTTAATTTGTGACTCAAATATCCGACGGCGATTTAGTAGAAAATTTCTTGATTGAAAAACTTTTCATACATAATTATATGTATACAAATAGCTGTATGGGGGTAATTACGCCAAATTGTGTATGAGATGTATCCATACCATAACTGTATTGTATAATTCTATGTGATTATATCTAACAATTCCTGTATAGCTTGCACTAGCTTCTCGACCATTACAAAATACTTAAACCAGCAGGTATTTTCGGATCATTCAATTGATCCGTGTCGACTCGCTGTCGGATCAGATCTTTCGCCGGCTTGCCATACTAACGTGGGATGATTTCTAAATACCAGAGAGTATAAGTTAGTATAAGCAAGTGGCAAGCCGGCGAAAGATCTGATCCGACAGCGAGTTGACGCGGATCAATTGAATGATCCGAAAATACCTGATGGTTTAAGTATTTTGTAATGGCCGAGAAGCTAGTGCAAGCTATACAAGAATTGTTAGTTTTCTCCGATCTCTCTTAAGTATTTTTTATATGTAGATATAATCACATAGAATTATACAATACAGTTATGGTATGGATACATCTCATACACAATTTGACGTAATTACCCCCATACAGCTTTTTATATATGTATAATTATGTATGAAAAGTTTTTAATCAAGAAATTTTCTACTAAATCGCCTTCGGATATTTGAGTCACAAATTTTAAAAAATATTAGTGAAGACAAGGTATCATGGTCATTTTATATATTTATTAAATTAATGTCATTTATTTATTTATTTAATTTCTTTAAATTTATTTATTATATTTATTATATTTATTTTATTTTGTATTTATTATATTTATTTTATTTATTTTATTTTGTATTTAGAAATCATCCCACATTATTCATTCGTATAACCAAGAGACAAGCCGGCGAAAGATCTGATCCGACAGCGAGTTAACACGAATCAACTGAATAATCATGTTATTTATTATGGATTTGCCGCGGCATATAAATTTGTGTTACACATTGTATACACAAATTTGACAGCACCATGATCACTCACCGCGCATGAGCACGGACAGTGATTCGCATCCTGAATTTTTTTGCGCGGTCGTAAACTTATCAAAAAATAAAGTGTCGCAACCTCAGTGCTCCCGACTGTACGTGTTTGATATTTCGCATACCTATTAATATTGGAAAATGATTACCATGAACCCTGGAGGAATAAATGGATAGAAATAGATACAAAAATTTGACATCCATTTCAATCTCACTTCAATATCATTTCTTGAACCCCTTTTTGAAATAGAATGGAATATAACTTTTTTATTCATTCCAATTCTACTATACAGATTGGAATTAAGAAAGATTTAAACGGATTGATATTTTATTTACTATTAAATAAAAAGAATAAAGTATTGAAATGAATAAAAAGTTGATTTCGGTATGGAACAGTATCGAAGCCCAATGTAATTGATATGATTGGCTAGAATAGAATAACTTTCTTCCAGAATTTAATATTAAAATGTATAAAGTGATCAATTGAAAAGTATTCAAACGGATAAAAATTTTATGCTATTTCAAGAGTTCAGAGGATCTCTCAGATATCTTTTTTACCGACACAGTCAAATATAGTTTGTGCGCTTGTAATTCTTTTTATCGGTTTTTATTCACAAAATAATACCGGGATAAGTTACGGACCGCATAGCAAAACATTTTAATACTAAAAGCACTTAGTTTAGAAGTGTAATAAAAAAGATTTTGGTAAAGATATTTGAAAATTTTAATTCGTAGTTTGTGCTAAATTTGAAACTGGCTTTATAAAATTGCAAAACTCTTCCACACGATTAAAGTACGCAGCAAAACAAAACCAGGGACAGTCGACTTTATATAAAAAGAACGAAGAGAAATTCATATTACTTTATAAGTGATTGTGGTTAGCTAACATTAAGCCACTTTGTTTGTGAAGCTGCATTTGTACTTTCATGCATGATATTAATCGGTTGTTTAGATGAGACATTCAATATTATAATGTCTTCTAATGATATACAATTGCCACTGTTTTTGTCTTGCAATTCCTGGTCACTGACATGCATACAGAATTTATTCTCACATTATATGAAAATTTTCCTGTGACGGAGGAGCTACACAAGTGTATCTTATGAAGACATGTACGAGAATGACGAAAATTGATTGAAAACAAGTAACTGCGCATGCGCGAGGTAAATACACATTTCGCCCTCTCATAAGAACCTTCTTTTTAATGTAAAACAATCATGCATTGAATTTCCTCGGTTGTTAAGCGGACGGCTCCATTATAGATATACATAGTTCGAAAAGAACACTTTTAATAATAAGTTATAAGTGTGCATATATACTCACACAATAGTATATGATAGTCCATTATGTAAAATTACGATATTAATACTAAAATTTACTCTAGAGGGAAACATCAATCGATAAAAAAAGAGGAGGGATAAGCGTGGGTCGTCGGCGTCTTTACATTCACTCGTGTCCCCAACTTCATACAAATATGATTCGAATAGGAGATCAGTATTTCAACGTGAATAAAATTTTACTGCTCACTGTCGGCCTGTGGCCCTATTACCAATCTATCTTTACTACGTTTCAGTATATTTCGATCTCTACCATATTGACCGCGTTTGTTATATTTCAGGTAAGAAAACATTTTAATACAATTAATGACTATATAAGAGAACACGGCTCTGACGAATAAAAATCAATGAATGGAAGCGCTAAGAGCCTTGACTGGGTGTTAGTGTCACAATAGTTAAAGTTTAGTTTATTTAAAACATAAAAATTGCAAACGTTTCAGTCTTTCTTTATACCATTCTCAGTGTATAAATAGAAAAAGAATAAAGGGAATTAAGTTAATATTCGCTCGCAACGCAATACATACGAAAGATATAAGAGGTAAGCCGTATTCGGATTTATTACGACTTCAAATTGAAAGATCATTGTTTCGTCGAGATATAAGTTTTTGAATTATAGAGCTGGTAATAGATGTCGACTAGTGATAGTAATAAATGTCACTAGTCCACATTTATTACCAGCTCTATAATACCAAAACTTATGCATATCTCGACGAAACAATGATCTTTCAATTTGAAGTCGTAATAAATCCGAATACGGCTTACCTCTTATATCTTTCGTATGTATTGCGTTGCGAGCGAATATTAACTTAATTCCCTTTATTCTTTTTCTATTTATACACTGAGAATGGTATAAAGAAAGACTGAAACGTTTGCAATTTTTATGTTTTAAATAAACTAAACTTTAACTATTGTGACACTAACACCCAGTCAAGGCTCTTAGCCCTTCCATTCATTGATTTTTAATGACTATATCATTGTCTGTGTAACTTATCAAATGGCAAATTTTCACCACATTTTTATTTATCTTACTCTGTGTTATGCAATGATATTTGTATTAAATATAACACAACTATTATTAATCAAGTGTATGTAAAATTGAAGTAAAAAATTAAATTGGAGTAAATTATAGTAAACTGAACAAAATTATCTTTTAACAGCTAACAACGTTTTTAACAGTAAACTGTACTATGGAACTCTTAATAGATGTTTTGTCTTCCGCATCTTTTTGTGTTATTTCTTCGATAAATTATAACGTATTTCATTTTAAAATCGAAAATGTAAGTCAATGACGTGTCTGTTAAACGGGGTAACCCACCCATCTATATTTAAATCAAAATATTCACTTTGATGTATACAAAAGTTACTGGAATGACAGGTGAAGGATTTACTGATGCAGTTTCAGCATGTACATAATGAATTAACGGATAAAACTGAAATCGCTATCATAAAAAAATATGACTACATAGCGAAATGTTATACAGTTACACTCATGAGTAAGAAAATTGTTATAAATTTTGAATATAATGCATTATTAACATAATATACATATAAACTATCAAGTTAAAGAAAATCAGTTTATCCGAATTATATACGGTTTTATATACGATTTGTATACGATAGTTTTATACATACATAAGTCCATTAAAGTATTCGTCATGTATACTCATTTGCAATAAACAGCAAATGTGTTTTACAGATTGTTCAAAGACAATAAGTTTGGAATTTGCTCGCAAAATTGCCGCACGATAGATTCCCCTCACCCTACAGAGCCAACTCCCCGTATCCATAAGGTTCATATTTTACGCTCCGTCCAGATATTTCCTACGTCCATGGTTCGACCCATAAAACCTATAACAAAATAAGTTACAGCTATGTGAAAATAGGTTCTGCAGGTGTCGAATGCCGCCGAGCGCTCATACAAAAAAAAATTCTAGCGCCGTAAATATTAAGAATTCGACTTCGGACATTAATGACATCATTTTTTATACTTCAAGCTTCAGTTTTTAAAAATAAAAAGAATGTATTATAATAACGTACCCCCCCCCCCCCAAAGTAACTTGCCGATTAAACTTACATACTATAAAGGAAAGTCCCCTATTGTGAAGTAGGCTCCTAATATGAGATAGCAACATTTCTGCTAAAATTATTTGGCATTATCTGTTAGTTTCACCATGAAATACATTTTCTTGCTCTTGAAGTAAATTCTGTTTAGTGGCAAATTGATTGTTAGATCGTGTAATTGTTGCGAAAAAAGATTAGTAAATGAATTTGACTTACTATCTCTACTATTAGAACCCAATCTCATCATAGAGGACTTCTCTCCATTTTAAATATTCTGTCTTATTGGCAATCTATAATCATATTATTACCGTTCTATATTATTAATGTAACAGTGTTTGGTGTGTAATGTTTTTAGTATTTGGAATTTGTGCAATATTTGCTTTTATGGCATTTCAATTTTGGATAAATATGATCAATTTTGCTTTACCAGCGAACGTATCTCGATCATATAATTTTCTCATTATGATGGAGTATTTCATCGATCAGGATACATATTTTTACTTGATTATATTGCACACCACCTTAGCTACTTGCATTGGGACAATTTCAGGGGTAGCATGTAGTACACTGTTCCTTACATTCGTTCAACATAGCTGTGGAATGCTCAAAATTGCTAGGTACGAATACAGAAATCACATTAATAGTTTGAAATGTAGCTAAAAGTTAGTCTATTCTGCCTAAATAATAAAAGTGTTTGTGTAACATTTTTTATCTGTTATTAATTGTATATTTCAATTAATCACTTTAAACTGACAACACTAACGTTTACAGTTATCGAATTGAGCATGCTATAAATATGAACATTAAACGAAATGTAATGCCAGAGAATGAGATTTTGATGACCAAAGGTATAAGTTATGCTGTTGACATTCATCGGCAAGCTCTGAAGTTCGTATTTATGATGTCACTTTTCACGCAATATATGCATACACTAATATTTTTTATTTTTAAAGACTGAACAAACACTTACTGTCAATAGTGGAGACAATGTTGTTGTCTTTCTTACTGTTTCTTGTGCTTTGTTTGAGCCTGAACCTATTTCGAGTAAGTTTTATCATAAATTATATACAATAAAGACGGTTCCAAAATTTTTAGCAATATTGTACTATAAGGAAGGTAAGAATGAACACAGCATGTATATTATAAGAATTATGAATTTCCAACGGAAGCTGTTAAATGCAGGGTTGCGTAAGTCATCTTTCTTTCAATTAAGTTAAGTTAAAGTCAACAGCCTTGAAAATTTAGCTTAGTTGAAATACAAATAGTTATCCCATATTGAAATTAATTGAATTAAAAGTTAAGTTAATAAGAAAAAGGAACGTTTTACCGGGCATTACTGATGATCATGAGGAAGAGTATTGTAAATAAACATAATCTCGAGACATTATTTAAACTTTAAGTTATAAATGCTCATAAATTTTTTAATTTAAAGTGCTTAATAGAAATATCTTGTACCAATATAAATCATTTGTATTCTTAGCATCAAAAAATTACAACTCTCTGTATAGTATACGTTGAAAGTATATACTTTATGGAGATTAATGATTTACATAAAATATATTTCTTTACTTTTTCAGCTAATGATATGTAAAAACATTAAATACATTGTTGTACCACTTGGATGTGTGGGAGTGTGTACCATATATATGTTCTTCTTCAATCTTCTGGGGCAAATTGTAACTGACCACAATAATGATGTGTTTATTACTACGTAAGAAATATTCTCTTGGTAGACAACGCATAGAGATTTTCCAGTATTTATGTTACGTAGAAGTTTATTTGTCAGAAACATTTGTTTCAAGATGTAAACTAATAAGAAGATTCGTATTTCCAGTTAGAAATTCATAATTAATTTCGTAGATATAACGTCTACTGGTATAGAACTCCGTGTCATATACAGAGAATGATATTATTCCTGTTGCAAAAAGGAATAAAAGAATTTCATTTTAATATCGGTGGAATATTTGATATCTCTATTGAGGGTTTCACAACGGTAACATTTTGAATGTTTTATAATATTAACCTACATACAGATACATAAAGGTAATGTTTCTACTTGCAGCTGGTCAAGACCTCGGTATCTTATTTTACAGTCATAAGTTCTATACAGTAATAAAAGAAAGACGATTTTAATCAAAACATCGTAGTAATGATATTAAGCTTATTTATAACAGTATGTTGTCTTACAATTAGAAAGTATAGACTTCTATTTGTATATGTATGTCAGAGAGCAAGCTGAGAGCGGCCTCGCTGGCATTTTACTTGATACCGTTTCAGGAAATTGATGCGCGCGTCTTTAAGCCCATTTTTACTTTTGGAACTATTTTATTGCGCATTTTCTAACCCTACCGATAAAATTGCCACTTGGTGCATGGCTGTCCTTATAGAAATGTAAGCAAAATTATTACTCGAAAATTCCTTTGTGTCAGTGATTTGAAATAATTCAATTACTGTACTCTAGCAGTTGCTTACAACTGTTTTCGATCCCAGTTGTTATATTTCTGTAAGGGTGGGCTATGTTTTCTGAAATCCAATTTATGTAATTTACATTGTTTACTTGAGCATAGTTGATGTAAATATCATGTAGATAATGTATGTTAATGTGATTTTGAAATTTACAGCACAATTCTGAAAAATAGGCGTAGCACGGACACGCACAGAATGGAGGTTTCATCGGCAGCGTTAAAAAATAAGTAGCAAAATAGTGCCAAAAGTAAAAATGGGCGTAAAGGCGCGCAAAACAGTTTGGTGAATACCTAGGTATCGAGTAAAACGCCGACGTGAACGCTCTTAGGTTTCTCTATGGCGTATAGACGATAATTAGATGTATCGTAGCTACAGAAAAGCAGTTCTGAAGTTATTAAAATCAACGAATTAATGCTTCAGATTTTCGCAATATCTAAATTGGACATTTATAAATATATTGACTGTAATTCAAATATAAACAGTATCTAAGTGTTAATACATGTTTTAGTACTTTCAAGTAATAAATTCTTTACGCATGTGTACGTGTTCGATATTTCACATACCTATTAATATTGGAAAATGATTACCATGAACCCTGGAGGAATAAATGGATAGAAATAGATACAAAAATTTGACATCCATTTCAATTTCACTTCAATATCATTTCTTGAATCCCTTTTTAAAATAGAATGGAATATAACTTTTTTATTCATTCCAATTCTACTATACAGATTGGAATTAAGAAAGATTTAAACGGATTGATATTTTATTTACTATTAAATAAAAAGAATAAAGTATTGAAATGAATAAAAAGTTTATTTCGGTATGGAACAGTATCGAAGCCCAATGTAATTGATATGATTGGCTAGAATAGAATAACTTTCTTCCAGAATTTAATATTAAAATGTATAAAGTGATCAATTGAAAAGTATTCAAACGGATAAAAATTTTATGCTATTTCAAGAGTTCAGAGGATCTCTCAGATATCTCTTTTACCGACGCAGTCAAATATACATAGTTCGTGCGCTTGTAATTCTTTTTATCGGTTTTTATACACAAAATAATACCAGGATAAGTTGCGGACCGCATAGCAGAACATTTTCATACTAAAAGCACTCAGTTTAGAAATCTACTAAAAAAGATTTTGGCAAAGATATTTGAAATTTTTAATTCGTAGTTTGTGCTAAATTTGAAATTCGCTTTATAAAATTGCAAAACTCTTCCACACGATTAAAGTACGCAGAAAAACAAAACCAGGGACAGTCGACTTTATATAAAAAGAACGACGAGAAATGAATAATATTACTTTATAAGTGATTGATGTTAGCTAACATTAAGCCACTTTGTTTGTAAAGCTGTATTTGTACATGCATGCATGATATTAATCGGTTGTTTAGATGAGACGTTCAATATTATAATGTCTTCTAATGATATACAATTGCCACTATTTTTGTCTTGCAATTCCTGGTCACTGACATGCATACAGAATTTATTCTCAAATTATATGAAAATGTTTCTGTGACAGAGAAGCTACACAAGTGTATCTTATGAAGACATGCACGAGAATGAAGAAAATTTATTGAAAACAAGAAACTGCGCATGCGCGAGGTAAATACAGATTTCGCCCTCTCATAAGAACTTTCTTTTTAATGTAAAACAATCATGCATTGAATTTGCTCGGTTGTTAAGCGGACGGCTCCATTATAGATATACATAGTTCGAAAAGAACACTTTTAATAATAAGTCATAAGTGTGCATATATACTCACACAATAGTATATGATAGTCCATATTATGTAAAATTACGATATAAATACTAAAATTTACTCTAAAGGGGACATCAATCGATAAAAAAAGGAAGGGATAAGCGTGGGTCGTCGGCGTCTTTACACTCACTCGTGTCCCGAACTTCATACAGATATGATCCAAATAGGAGATCAGTATTTTAACGTAAACAAACTTTTACTGCTCACAATAGGTTTATGGCCTTATCACCAATCTATCTTTACTACATGTCAGTATATTTTGATCTCTACTATATTCATCGCATTTATTATTTTTCAGGTAAGAAAATATTTTAATACAATTAATGACTATATCATTATTGTGTTATATACATATATTATATTATACATATATATAATAATTATGTGTAACTTATTAAATGTCAAATTTTCACTACACTTTTATTTATCTTACTTTGTGTTATGCAATAATACATATTTGTATTAAATGTAACACAACTATTATTGATCAAATGTATGTAAAATTGGAGTAAAAAATTTAATTGTAGTAAATTACAGTAATCTAAATAATATTATCTTTTAATAGCTAACAACGTTTTTAACAGTAAATTGTACTACGGAACTCTTAATAGAAGTTTTGTCTTCCATATCCTTTTGTGTTATTTATACGATAAATTATACCGCATTCCATTTTAACATCGAAAATGTAAGTCAATGACGTGTCTGTTAAACGGGGTAACCACCCATCTATATTTAAATCAAAATATTTACTTTGATGTATATAAAAGTTGCTGGAATGACAGGTGAAGGATTTGTTGATGGAGCTTGAGCATGTACATAATGAATTAACGGATAAAAATGAAATCGCTATCATAAAAAAATATGACTACATAGCGAAATGTTATACAATTACACTTATAAGTAAGAAAATTCTTATAAATTTTGAATATAATTACATTATTGACATAATATACTTATAAAATATCAAGTAAAAAAACTCAGTTTATCCGAATTAGATACGATATATGTATGATTGTTGTATGCACACATAAGTATTAAAATCAAAATCATGTCAACAAATACACAATTGTGCATGCCTGCCGAATCCGGCCTTCCGCTCCTCCGTGCGCTTATTCGCTCATACGTTTTTCTTAATTACACGATAATTAGTACGAATTTTGCAAAATGGTATACAATTTTTTTTGTATACAAGAAGTAACTTACCGATTACACTTGCATATAAAGTCCCCCTATTATGAAGTAGGCTCCTAATGTGAGATAGCGGGGGTTTCTACTAAATTAGTTGGCATCATTTGTGGGTTCCACCATGCATTTTATTGCCCTTGGAGTGAATTCCGTTTAGTGAAAAATTGATTGTCAGATCGTGTAATCGTTGCAAGAGATTTATGATTGAATTTGAACGTTGAAGACCTCCTATCTCTACTATTAGAATCCCATCTCATAATAGAAGATT